CGTAGGATTCCTCTTTTTTTTTGCATCGGGACTGCGATTTGTGTTTATGCTGAGATGATGAATAAATACCTTTTGGTGTTTAGCTCCGGAATATTAACTGTACCCTGGATCCATGTTGCACAAAAATGACCATTGTCGTAATCCAGTTAACAATGGTAGCTTAACTTCTGTGGTCCCCAGCGAGGTTAGGCATCGAGGTGTACTGGATACCTGTCCAATTAAATAGTCATCAGTCACCAGGACACCCTGCTGCCTTGCGTCCTTTGGTTACCCGAAGGCTCCGGTTGTGAATTTCCCTAGCAAATTCACCTGACTAACCTGACAGCATTCTGCCCGTAAACAACTCATGGGTCCGTTTCTTTGTTACAAAGATTACTGCACTCCACTTAATCAGTTGAATGCAAAACAACTAAGGCGGGAAGCATCTTTTCGCAACCTCTGTCGCTGGTATTCTGCACTAATTTCAGCTGTTGTCCCTGGTGGTTGAATAGAATTTGTTTTCGCAGGTCAACTTTATATTTTACTGTTTCTGTTTTCGACAGTTCCGTGTTTGTTGTATGCGGTTACGTTGATACCGGGGTAACAACAACGTAATTGGGTGCATAGGAATTTACTCTCATTGTTCTCTAACTTGACGCAACATGCTCCTGGATTATAGGTTGCAGTCGTTCCACCCCAATTCATATTCACCATGCGACCCAAAGCCGTCGCGTTAGATTTTTAACGGGAAATAATCCATGGAAAGAAAGGTGTTCTATGTGTAAACAGCACGCTAAAATGTTGGTGGTTGGTTTGCATGCCTATACAAAATCGCAGCTTCATAGAAGTCGAAGCCGAATAATATCTTATCCTTGGGTTACGTCATCTCGCTCGTTTAAGAAATATCCTAGTTATGATTTACAAAATCACACTCCACTGTCTTACAAATCAGAATTCAAAAACCCCGATTTATTCGGTTTATACAACGCTTCAGAATGGGATTCTGATATCAAGTTTATTGTCATAGGGTGACTGTTATTAGAGGAGTGTGTCTCTATATATCGGAAGAAATGATGGCCGATCTATCGAACCGAAAACGAAGCACCGTGCTAAAAGTGAACTCTTGGAAGCGAATGAGCTCAAAACCTGTTTGATATGAGGCCAGCCCAACGGTTTCCTTTATGGTTTCCATAAGTGGGTTTTTATCTTTCGCGATTAGGTGTTACGAGTGATTCATGTGAGGCATGAGAGACCTTGTACCCGGAGAGACAATTTTTAATTTTGGACGAGTAAGTCGGCTTATCAGATGTAATATAGAATGGTATAGTACAAAGGGGTGTCGTCTGTCCTACTCTGCATTCTTCTCCGCAGCTATGCTTCTGACTGTTGCTGTCTGCGCGGATTCCGAGTGATGGCGAAGATTTCAATGATGGGTCGGGTTCGCGCACACCCCTGTGATTTCTACGGGTTTTTGTTATTGAAGGTTCTTTTGCTAGGCGAAAACATCAGACACTTGCTGGTCGTCCGCGACCGCTTATTTAGGGAAGCGATGACTGTTATCGGATAACCATCTAAGTTGCTGTTATTGGATAATCATCAGAGTTGCCGTTATCTTATTGGTAATTTACAGGCCGGATAGTGTACAACTTCTTTGGCCATAGTTGATGGCATACGGCCTATCGATTAGAATGTGGCTGACAAAATACCGTACAGGTCTATTTCTTCTGGTACTTCTCCAAACAAAACGCTAACACGGAATTGAGAAAGGTCACACACAGAAACAAATTAAAAAAATTGCAGTGCGATCGTCTGAAGCTGGTTGGGGTTTTAAGTCAGTAGTGCCGTCTGCGAGCAACTTGTCTTTTGAAAGCTCATCTTCGATATTCACACACCAGACTAACCACCGCAAAGTTGAAAATTATATATATATATACGTAAAGGTGGAAGAAGTCATTCAAATTTCTACCAGGTGATACAGAGAAAATGGAAAGATGGGCAGTTGGAGAACTCAAACTCTTGGTGTACGTGATGGTGACTTTACCCACTTGATTCCCTCTTGAGACCAACGACTTGTCAATGAAAGAAGGGAATGGAGGTGTGTAATAAATATATATCCAAATTCTCCAGCTTGGCTCTTTGTCGGTACTAGTGAATAAAATCTCTTGATAGTTCGCCAAAGATAGGCTTTGTTTGTGTCAACGCTTGTGGACTATGATCGTCCAATCTAACCGACAACATTTTAGCCCATCCACAGATGTTGACCGGCAGAGAACAAAGTGGTTTAGCATCAATCGATGATGTAATGCCAGTTTAGGCCTAGCATAGACGTAAGTTTAAGTTAATGCAACCCCAAAACTAAGAAGGTCACAAGCGTCAGATATTGAATTGCCTGACGCTTAGAATATGAAGCATAATCAAGTTTTGTACGCGTTTCGACGACCGTAAATTTGCCTCAGGTTTTGAGTTTCCGCTTCCCTGACTTAAGGGTTCAGCATGGTGTAAATGAAAGAGAAAACCTGTTGCCGAAACAGGCTATGTATGAATGTTAACTGCGATCGAATGATGAAGCATCTTTAGTTTAATTGGTTTTCGTACATTTTAGAAAACTGTTTCATTAGTAGCATAAATTTCACCCTCCTAATCATGTAAGCACCAATGTTTTATGATAGCGAAAAACACTGAAACCGGACGTTATTTTGGGTCTTTATCCTGTTTGTTTCCATAAATAGACGGGATTGATTTTGTAATGTAGAGTATCTTGAGGGCGTTGATCTTCATCGTACAGGTTGCTTAGAATTAGTATGCAATGTAGTTACGTTCATTTTTTGGACCTCATTCACTGTGACCTCTTAAATGATACATGGTAACTTAACGCAATCTTCAGGGTCATCAGTGTTGCTGTTGAGTTGTGTTGCACCGGGGCTTCGGATAAAATTCATGGCTTTTCTCTAGTCGTGCCTTTGGATTTTTTAGTTGACCGTCTGGTACGTCGGATCTAGCTAGTTCTATAGGACCAGGTGATTTTGTAAATGCACATTGAAGTGATCGGTAGTAACAGCCAAATCTTAATTAGTTGAACCTGTGCCAGGTGAATCAGATAAGGTATTCTTGAGTCGATGGTAATGAAAATCCACTGAAAAACGTGTTCTTAGCCAACGCCCCAGGTGAACTGTTTGTGGTTCTCTGGCCTCTGATTTTTCCTTTTCATCCTCTCATTTTGTTGGAAAGCACCTTTGGCAGTGAGTAGAGCTTCCTCAGCAGACTCTGTTTGATACGCTTGGTTGTATGAGGGCATTTCATGGAGTGCAAGGGTCTTCAGTTGACTGGTAACGTTGACGGTGACATTTCAAACTCCCAAATGAACAGTCTATAGGAACCCGACCATTCTAATTTGGGTTAACTCAGATACCGGACCGCTGGCGTAATTAAACGCTGTCATGGTCCGTAAGCTAAATGCTGGATTAAGACAGATGATTACGAACAAACCTATAAAGCCTTGAAAACCCATATTTTCGGCGTTCATTGTTAAGGGTTGTAAAAATAAATGAAAATACAGGTTTTGCAAAGCAATATGCTTTATGAAGTGCAACCAGAAGACAGCAACCAAAACCGGCGCACGAAAGTGCATGGTTAATGGTTGTAAGAACTGAACTATGATGTGTCACTGAAAGCCCTTCCCCACGTTGTAACTTGCAGATTGCTTTTGGCTAATCACTTCACTGACATATCTAGCTGAATACCTCTTGGTACGGTTTCAGCAAAATGGTTTTGTATATCATCAGCGTTTTTCGTTCACCAGGCGCAGATATTAAAATAATGGGAGATTTCTACATTCGCATCATAGATTCCATGGAAGTTGGTTTGGTTGTAATGTACTCCTCTATAACAACCAATATTCAACCCACTCTAACACAAACTGTGAGTGGTAAACCGCTCTAATATGTGATACATTTTGCCTCAGCATTACATTATGTTTACGGTACAACTCCTCGATTTGTTTCACGATTGAATTGTTTTCCTCTCCAAAGCCGTGCGCATATTTCAGACAATGAAATAATAGGCTGACCGAAAATGAACTCTGTTAGCTCACGTGTATACTACTGGTCAGCCTACTTCTCGGACCATACCTTAGTCACTAAAGCTGAATTGCATATGTAGAATAACACCTATCGAAGCACGGCCAGTTGCAAAGTGTTCAACTAAAAAGCCGTTATCCCGGGAATCAATTTTCTAAATTTTACTAATTCCTCTCTCTAGTTTTCGATCATTTTGTTAGGCGACGCGACCTTGAACACCACTATCAACAATGGATTTTGGTAGCATAAGTTTATGTACCGAAAAGTGAAAATGTTTCCCTTGTACATTCTTTTTACACCCTCTTTTTCACTCTCAGTTGCACCGACAACTTGCTTTCTCTATTTACGCGTCAGTTTACCAATCGATCTTCCTTTTGATGGCTCAACCGCGATCGAAATTCGTAATCGATCATGTACTTTTGGCCTGATCACAGCTGTTTGTCCTCTCAACACCCATCTTACCCATAGGCAGTCAGTGCGCCAGCTGATCGTGTCGCGCGACCTTGAATTATCTCACGTGATTTGTGATCACCAGACCAGTTTATTTGCACTTTTCGCGCTGAGGCAATTGGGGCGTATTTTGTACTTTTATGCATGTCATCGCCGTGTGCCGAAGCGACACGCGATTGACCCATTTAATGGTTAACCTTTCGCAGTCGTACGTGACTGCAAGCTGAGAGCTGAAATATCAATCTCCAACGCCTGCCCTCAGCTACAATGAGTTTATTACTAAATAACACCCAGTCATTGTCAGTATGGATGCCGTTACCAAACTTTTCTCGGTCATCCTACATTTTGGACAAAATGGTCATGTTCTGAGCTGATATTGTGTGCAATATTATGAATCATGATTAAGCGTTCGATTTTTTTTGTCTTATTGCTTTATGAAGTAGCTTAAGGTATCTTCTAATTTTTATCATCTTTTCTCCACATCCCGGCACAGAATACGTGCAGCGCTTTGCTACCGAAGAAGTGTTAAAGGCTGAGGAGAACGGTGGAGCCGAACCAAACTCATCGGATGACGAGAGTTCCATGTCCGACTACACAGATGACATGGCAAAGGATATGGAACTATGACGGCACGCCCGACCCTAGTGACCATTTGTATTTGCTACCGTTCGGCTTTCATCCCTCATCGTGCCCTGTCCTGGTTAAAGAGGTGACCTAGTCAATCCATAACGATCCGATGTGGCGTATGCGTTCTGCCGTGATGGGATTTGGGACTTGCATTACTCGGGTCGTCTTTTGACTCATCCCTCTCCCCAATCAACTTAACTGACAACGTATCCATCGGACAATTCATTTTGAAGCTCCCTCTGTCTTGATTTTTCCCATATTGTTTTATCTTACGCCAGTTCTGTGGTGTTGCTCTGTACACACGCTTCTGGTCGGCTGGTTCCCTGTCGTCCGTGTGAACAAGATTTGGCTGTTAACTTGATCCGCGTGGGATCGTTTCCACTCCCTTTCTCTCAACACAATTCACCCATTCACCGACACTCCACCCCTGATATTGTCCCATACGTTCGCGGACAGGTGCATTGAATGCAATAGTGCTTGTTTTTTGTTCGCCTGTTTTGTTTCACTGTTGGTCCTTCCACTCGCCCGCAATCCGGACAATCAGCAGCTCCTGTGTAACTGCTCATGGGTTACGCACTTCCTTCGCGCTCGTTTTCCACACACCCCACTCCTCATCTGTTCTTGTGTCGACCTTGTTCTGAAGGTGTTTGTGCGTCTTTCATTGTTCATCCGTCCCTCCCACTACGCTTGACAGGGGGTTCCAGTCTGTATAGACATGGTCTGCTATCTTTCCTGTTGTTCATCTCACTCACAATCTCTGGTCTATTCCAACCACCGAACAATTTGTGCCATAGTTGGTTTATTTGCGCCTAGTCTACGGCTAGACAGACATGTCATTCATGGATGGTGGTCCATTCCTCTCCCAAATCCGCCTTCCTGACCAAACTTTATGGATGCTCATTTCTCGTCGAGGATCGGATTGTCACCCTACGCGTCTCCCTAAGGTATTTAGTCCTATGTTGCTATCATACCTCCCCAAGATTCATCATAGTCGAAGAGACTGTTCAGCGGTCTACGTTTTTCTACACTCGATTCTGCTGTTCCCTCACCCCCAGCCGATTCGAAGTTAGTCAGTGGTCGACCGAACTCAGACCGATTTGCATTTGTTCGTACGTCTCAGCAGAAGTGTGGACAGTTGACGCAGTTACGTGATAAACGCTGCTGATGGTAGGCGATATCTACAAGCATCAGGCCATCTGAATTGGAGTGAACCTTTGGAATGGGTCGCCCGACAAACCTTCGCAGTCTACCGTGATTCAGTCGTTTATTTTTACTTGTCACATTCACCCCTCACCCTTCCTGATTGACCCGAACTCACTGACGCGCGAGCGTTATTTTTAAGCCTATTTTTGCTTGCGTCATGCGGTTCAATGACCTCACCACCATTCTAATATTCTCTCACTCTGTATTAGTTCATATCTGACGCTACTGCTATCTGTTCTCTTTCTGGTTGTCTGATTTGCGTCATTACGTGAACGATCTTGTGTCATTCTCAATGTGATGCCCGTTCGCGGTCGACCATACGTGTGATCAAGCCTGCTCCGACACAGCACCACTGCCATTCACAATCGCAATGAGTATCGGCTCCGAAGCCGCATCATCATTCTCATCATCATCACCAAGCTTTGTACAGTTGGTAGTCGTAGTCCAACGCGAATTCTATGTCATTGCAGACATAGGTCTATTGCGCTTGTATTCCTTGCTTCGCGTCGTTCGCTTATATCAACATTTGCCGCAACACTTATAAAATCACTCACGCTTTAACCAATACTCTTCTTTTGTACTACAAGCAGGCAGGGAAATAGCTGGTTTCGCTTATAACGTCCTCTGTTTCGTTCAATCTTTCGATTGGTGTGGTAGAAATGGAGAAAGGTTATTGACGAGTTTTTAATCCTCAGAATTTCGGTTATCATTTGTCTACAGGGAATCTCCCCGTTGTTGTCTACGTCGTTCTCGCGTGATGCTACTGACCTCCAGCCTGATTGAATGGACTATCGCATGAATTAATCGATGTATACTCTGCACAGTGTTACTGGTTTCCCCCCTCGTGATCCCTGTTCATAGGATCGTCTGGGGTCTGTCGATTAACCTTCGGCGAATAATGGTTGTTGTATAGGTGGCCTATTGTTTACGCAAAATAAGCACAGATCACACTTCATATTTTGTGACTGTTGATTGTTAATTTGGATTTGACCTTCATTTTCGCGAATGATGTACAGGTCAGTTTCTCCAACGTTTCCGAAAACGCTCGTCAGTGCATTCAGATCATTCATAAACGTGTGTTGGGTGGGTGGGCTCATGTTGCGTGGTTGGTTCCTTAGTTGGGACTTGATCATACGATTGGGTGCATTATTCGGGTATAATTAGCGTTCAGTTTTTTTTAGCATTTATTTTTCAATCTGATGGATGTGGACCTCAGTGCACAGTAAAGATTATGCGGATTGGCACCTGTTGATCCATCAGATCTCTATCACTTTTTGAGTTGTATTCAACCAATTGCACTTGGTGAAGAGGCGGGATGTTTTTTGAAAACCTCTCTTGTATCTGGGATTTTAGGCCAATCTGTGCTGTGTGCTCCCAATGCAGTAGCCAGTTCCAATTTATCCTCAGGTTAAACAAAGCACTAGCACGACTCAAGCCTAGCCAGATTATCGTCTAACAGTAGACGCTTATTTTTCTCGCGGTCGATCTTGTAATGAACTGGTGACATTGTACCACTCCCGTGAAGGTCGTCCCACCTGTTGCGGAATTCTGCCCGGGTTTCGATACCCATCACTTGGGCGATCGTGCCCCGGTGTAAATATCTAACGCGATCGTAACTACTGCATAACGGTGAGTGACTTGATCAAATCCACACGAACGTCATCTCCCGAAACGCTGAAAGGAAGCAGACTCACGTGGTGCAATTAGAGGTTTTATTGTTCACTTGAAACCGCCACCGAACAGCTGACATGAGTAAGTCGAGTTTTCAACATTTGTCAAGGATGTTGTTGTTGTATTGAAATAACGGGAATTAAGATAGGCGGTCGTTTACTCCGGAAAAGTGCCAAACTGTACGACGAAAATCATGGGAGTAAGCTGATTTTAATTGCACAAAATGCGCCGGGGGCCGGATCACTCGTGGTGTGTAACCAAGTGCAACTACTACTTCCTGTGGCTGGTTATATCAAGGAGCGAGAATAGAACAGAAACGAAATCGAATGGGATGCCGCTTTTCGATTGTGTTTGTTTCACAATCGTCTGAATCCAGACTGACAAACATTTCATAGTACTATGATCTTTGTAAAAAAGAGAAATTCCCTTGATTTGTTTGTAGGCGGAATACTGTCAGATTGTCCAGGCCAAGTCCTGTAAACAAATGACATCAACTTCACAAATCTTTTCGAAAGTTGAACATAGCGTTACGATTAAATGACAGCTTTTGTAAAGTTCAAACTGTAGTCATTGTAATCGGCCACTGAATCGAACACACCCCCAGCTCGATAAAGAGTCGCCGAGATAGTATTTGCAAAATGAAATTGAATGGATGAAATCTCAGCTACGGTGAGTGGTCATTTTGACCGTCCAGTTAGGGTTCGTATTTTTATCTGCGTTTTTTCCGGATCACGCATTCGTTTGTTCTAATTTCGCCGAAACTATTGGCCGCTTGGATGGCATCACATTGGAGTGTTGGATTATGGCAGACGTGTGCCTTATTTCAAGTTGTTCGATTAGTGTTGAACGATGAAGAAGAATGACGTGGCGTTGTTTCTGATATCGGTCAATTAGGTTCGACCGTATGATCAAGCGAATGAAGACTTCAAATAATCACGATTCTGGGTAAAGCACTATTGACATACGCCGTGTGACGAAGCTTGCAGTTCCCGTTGATTCATGAGGATCGGGATTCGGGGAGTTNNCGGGGAGTTTGTAAGGTATCGTTGAAGATCTTCCGGGATTGCTGAATTAACAAATGGGGCTCGGGGATCGAGATGTAATGAATCGAAACACATCAGAATGATTTTGCAATGAACGATTGATCGTTCGTTCTTGGCGACGCCAAATTCACAGCACCGATGAAGGCAATCGGCTTTTCCCACGGTGTCTATATAATTTTTTCGGGGAAATAGATTATCTGTTATGTCACACGAACAGTCTTTCACCATTAGGTAGAACGGCCCATTTTTTCACAGTACCTGTTAGATATCCGAGACCGCGGAGTTTCAAGGTTGAAGTAAATAAGACCGAACTTGGTGCGGTTGCAAACCTAGTTCCTGTGCTTAAAAGGGGCTTATATTAATTCTCCTACACGGTATTACTTCAGAAGCATAGTGGAAAACCGAATAACGAAATATCACATCTCAAACTTAGTGAACTCAAGGCCTTAATAGGTGTACCACCGGATTATTCATCCACGTACAGTTTGCCTCCGCCCTTCCATTGGCATATGTCTAGGAATAGATAACATTTGCACTGTGGTGATATCGCGGCTGGCTTCGATGCAATCAAATGTTTGATTTAAAAAGATCGAATGCCTACTATTCTTGAGAGCCTGCGTAAAATATTCTATTTGTCTTACGAAACTCAAGTCTCGTACATAGCTTGGTGAGTTGATGTTGAGATAAACAAACCTCGAAGAATCGCTGTGATGATTCTGTGTTTCGAGTAGCATAGGGAGTGAGTTGGCTAATTCTTGCATAGAGTCATCACGTCACGTGATTCAGTATCAGTTTTAACAGCTTAATGGTATTCTTCTTCCTTTGCGGTACTCCTTTTATACGTTAGAAATTGCAAACTCTACCGAAACAGTAAACATGGTCTCATTTAACCCATTCCAATACACAGACCCCAGGTGGTTTACTATACTGGTCGATGAGATTTCCGGGATGATCGTGGAGCCAGAAGAGCCAGTTTTATAAACCCCGATTCGTCCAGTAGATTTTTTGTGACCGATCCCCCGAAGGGGTAAAATTTAAAAACTATACATAACGTCCTTATTAGGGATTTCTCGTCGCACAAGTTTACCCTTAAACCTGATCACTAGTATACGTAAAACTTTTGCTACACTAGTGTTGAATATGGATAGGTTCAAATGGGAGCAATTTCAAATAC